TCACCATGTTGGCCAGGCTGGTCTTGAACTCCTGACCTCAGGTGATCTGCCCGCTCTTGGCCTCCCAAAATGCTGGGATTACAGGCATGAGCCACCACGCCCGGCCGAGGAAATGTTTTAATCCAAAAGCTACCATGATCTCTGAGATGTCTTTAGAGTGAATGACCAAGCAGTTGGCTAGTTAGGTGATTAAGAATGAAGACTATGGACTGTGAACTGCACCCAGTGAAATATAGGAAGAAATTTAAAAATTTCCCAAGATTACAAAAATAAATCTAAAAGAAAGATTATTTCAGGCCAGGCGCAGTGGCTCATGCCTGTAATTTCAGCACTTTGAGAGGCTGAGGTGGGTGGATCACTTGAGGTTGGGAGTTTGGGACCAGCCTGACCAACATGGAGAAACCCTGACTCTACTAAAAATACAAAATTAGCTGGGCGTGGTGGCGCATGCCTGTACTTCCAGTTACTTGAGAGGCTGAGGCAGAAAAATCACTTGAACCTGGGAGGCAGAGGTTGTGGTGAGCCAAGATTGTGCCATTGCACTACAGCCTGGGCAATAAGGGTGAAACTTCATCTCAAAAAAAAAAAAAAAAGATTATTTCAAATTTTAAATCCACAGAGGTCATTCTATTACTGCTCAACATAACGTACACATTTAAAAATAGGTTCTGCATGGAAACATAACGTGTGCTATAAGTGTTTCATGGAAAATTAAATTCAAAATTATCCATTTATCATCAACTCTCCTTAAGAATTTCTAAGATACATTTGCTCTTCAGAGATTTCGAAATTCTGACATGTTTATTTACACAGCGCTTACAATACATAGTTCAATGTTATTAAAGCTTGGCCTATTCTAACTAATTATACATTCACCACACTTTGTGTCAGGATTTTCAAATATTTTCTTTTAACAAACAAACAATGCTAACTGCCGGATTTAATTCTCTGGCCCATGGACAGTGCATCCCTCTCCTCCATTAAGAGTGTTGCTTGGCCGGGCACGGTGGCTCAGGCCTGTAATCCCAGCACTTTGGGAGGCTGAGACGGGCGGATCACGAGGTCAGGAGATCGAGACCATCCTGGCTAACACAGTGAAACCCTGTCTCTACTAAAAATACAAAAATTAGCCGGGCTTAGCTGGGCGTGGTGGCGGGCACCTGTAGTCCCAGCTACTCGGGAGGCTGAGGCAGGAGAATGGCGTGAACCCGGGAGGCGGAGCTTGCAGTGAGCCAAGATCGTGCCGCTGCACTCCAGCCTGGGTGACAGAGCGCGACTCCAACTCAAAAAGAAAGAAAGAAAAAAAAAAGAGTTGTGTGTGGCCAGGCGCAGCAGCTCAGCCTGTCATCCCAGCACTTGGGAAGGTTGATAGGGGGTTGCTTGAGTGCAGGAGCTTGAGACCAGCCTGGAAAATACAGTGAGACTTCATTTCTACAAAACAGTAAAAAATCTAGCTGGGCGTGGTGGCATGTGGCTGTACTCCTAGCTACCCAGGGAACTAAGGTGAGAGGATAACTTGAGCCTGGGAGATTGAGACTGCAGTAAGCTATGATCACAATGTCAGTTTTGTAACACATAAATGACCTCAAACTCTCCAGTTAAAAATCAATCTATTGGCTGGCCACAGTGGCTCATGCCTATAATCCCAGCACTTTGAGAGGCCAAGGCAGGTGGATCGCCTGAGGTCAGGAGTTCAATACCAGCGTGGCCACCATGCAGAAGCCCCATCTCTACTAAAAATACAAAAATTAGCCAGGCATGGTGGCATGTGCCTGTAATCCCAGCTACTTGGCAGACCGAGGCAGGAGACTTGCTTGAACCCAGGAGGCGGAGGTTGCAGAGCCAAGATCACACCGCTGTACTCCAGCCTGGGCGACAGGGTGAGACTCAGTCTCAAAAAAACAAACCAACAAAAATCTATCATCACATTAAAAAATTTCAAATTTCCAGGCCAGGTGTGGCTCATACCTGTAATCCCAGCACTTTAGGAAGCCAAGGCAAGTCAGTCACTTGAGCTTAGGAGTTCAAGACAAGCGTGGGTAACATGGTAAAACCTCATCTCTACTAAAAAAAAATTAGCCAAGTGTGGGGGTGTACACTTGTAGTCCCAGCTACTCAGGAGGCTGAGGTGAGATGATTGCTTGAGTCTGGGAGGCAGAGGTTGCAGTAAGCCGAGATTACACCACTGCACACCAGCCTGGGTGACACAGTGAGACCATGTCTCCAAACAAAACAAAACAAAACAAAATTTTAAAAACCCAAAAAACAAAAGAAGAAAAAGAGAAAGTCTAAACTTCCTGTTAGAATGTACAAAGTACTATATAAAATGACATATTGTGTGGAGAACAGTGAGAAAGTGTAGCCATAACACAGGTTTTTAAGGAAAAAAAAAAAAAAGGAAGAGAGCTAGAATACGTAAGTAGCTGGGAACAAAGAAAAAGAGACCACAAAAAAAGAGATAATTTGGAAATAAAAGCAGACTTCCTCTTTCGAGAGAGTCAACTGTGCAGCCTGGGCACAGAAGTCCTTTCTCTGCATGCAGAATCAATGCCAGGTCTTCATCCTGGATATTTCCAATCTCTTATCTGGAGCTACAAATTCACTCCAACAGGAATATTTATTGCTAATTATGGAGCATCTATTACATATTTAGCACTGCCCTATGTTTCTTCACTTCATTTTTATGTCAAAATAACCCTATAACTTATAAAGCCTCCAAAGTGTTTACCTGAACAAATTGCCCAATAGAGTCAATAAACTCAATTACTGCAATTCAGAAAAGTGGAAGAAACAAACAAAAAAAAGTTGGCTTCAGGCCGGGCGCGGTGGCTCAAGCCTGTAATCCCAGCACTTTGGGAGGCCGAGACGGGCGGATCACGAGGTCAGGAGATCGAGACCATCCTGGCTAACACGGTGAAACCCCGTCTCTACTAAGAAATACAAAAAACTAGCCGGGCGAGGTGTCGTGCGCCTGTAGTCCCAGCTACTCGGGAGGCTGAGGCAGGAGAATGGCGGGAACCCGGGAGGCGGAGCTTGCAGTGAGCTGAGATCCGGCCACTGCACTCCAGCCTGGGCTACAAAGCGAGACTCCGTCTCAAAAAAAAAAAAAAAAAAAAGTTGGCTTCAATAGTGTTCTCTAATAATGGAAAAATGGAAATGTATTAATTAAGTACAATGAAAATACACTCACTGTGGAATTACTCACATCTTAAGATTATTTTGGAAGCACCAATAAGTTTCATAAAATCATTATTATAATCCCTGAGAAGATCACGTAAGAAATTCTTCATGAATTTTGGAACAAGAAGATTATATGTTAGCTCTAGCACAAGCAACATAAAAGTAAAAACAGGATTTTCACAGGGAAATTCTGAAAAAAGTGCAATAAGATTTTAGAGAAATGCATTCAATACAAAGCAGAGAAAACAGATCTGCCTTCAACATTTTTGAGGTTTCTAGTTTGCTAATAAATTATCCATACTTTTAAAATTATGTTTGGTTCCAACATTTTTCTTTTATTCTGAAAACAGGTATGTACTTACTTCAAACATATTACTTACTTCATAATTTCTTACACCTAACAATTATCTTCAGAGTAATATATTTATATATTTATCTCCATATAAACCAAAACTAAAAGTATGTATATGTTTTGCAAGCCAGAGAGGTCACATGTTAAAAGAAAAATGTAAGATAAAACTTTGTTAATAGTCTTTTAAGATTCAGAAATATATGGTCTTTGATTATAATCCTATATAGGCTTTATTATAGCCCTAATAATGACACTGTCATTACAAAAAGAGCAAACAGAATGAAAGTGTAACTTGTGGGAACAATATTTTTCAAATTATTTGAAGTTTAATGCCACTGCGAGAAGGGATCATTAGAGATACTACTCCAACATGTCACCCACTATTGTATTGTTACCTTTAGTCACCCACAACCATAACACTAAGGTGAGATAGGTCAACGCTGGTGGCAGGATACACATCACTTAATATACAATGGCCTAAAGACAACTCAAATGTTTCTTTCTTAAATATAATGAGAATATTACTCTGAAGACCTATCTCATGAATCACTTACAACTACCAAGAGCCTCTCCGGTTACATTTCTTCAGGAAGCTTAAAATGCAATGTCCATAATCTTCCAAAGAAAAGGAGATGAATGATGCCTGCCCAAATATAGAAGAAACTCTCACGGCTTTCATGTAGCAACAATAGGCCACATGCCTTCACACAGACACTAGAAATGAAGGCATGGTATCAAGTGATTTCAAACTTGAATTACATAAATATGTGCTTTTCAAAAAATCTAAAACTCTTTCAATGCACAGAGTATACTTTACTATTATTATGTTATTATTATTATTGAGACAGGGTCTTGCTCTGTTGCCCAGGCGGGAGTGAAGTTGCAAGATATCAGCTCACTGCATCCTCAACCTCCAGGCTCAAGCAATCCTCCCACCTGAGCCTTCGAAGTAGCTGGGACAACAGGCATGTGCCACCAAGCCTGGCTTTTATTTTACTTTTTGTAGAGATGAGGTTTTGCCATGTTGCCCAGGCTGGTCCCAAACTCCTGGGCTCAATCAATCCCCCCACCTTGGCATCCAAAAGTGCAGCAATTATAGGAAAGAGCCACCATGCCTGGCACCAAAAGGTATACTTTAAATGTAATTAGAACTTCCCCAAAAGGTAAATCTCCTACTTATTTTAACTTTACTTTGGATTATTCTCTATAATAAACACTCAGATTTACAGTAATATCTGAAAGTGTTAGTGACTTAGTGCTTTTTACTGTGAATTCTTGGACGTGTTTTGATGTAATTTTTGACTAGTTATTTTTTTCACATTTACTGCATCTGTAAAGTAGTTCTTAGTGTGAACACTCCGGTGTTTTCTAAGGTATATTTTTTGAACAAATGCTGTTTCTGCATTTATTACGATTGTAGGGTTTCTCTCCAATACAAAGTCTTTGAAGTTGAATAAAGTTTGAGCAACTGGAAGGTTTCCCTACAGTATAAATTCCTCTGTGTACAATAAGAGCTGTGATATCAGTGGAGGTGTTGAACCGGTTTTTCTATTTGTATTGTTCCTAGCCTAAATGTTTTAGTGCACTCAAAGGCTTACAGTTTGTAAATGGACTTTTGACAGTCATTACATTTGTAACACTCTTATTCAGTAAAAATACTCTGCTATGAAGTTGTGAATAGGTATTAAAGACTATGCCATATTGTTTAGATTTGTAGGATTTTTCTCAGATGTGAATTTTCTCATGTACGGCAAGTTGTGCAGAGTGGTTAAAGGCTGTGCCACATTCCTCACACTTGTATGGTTTCTCTCTGGTATGAATTGTCTTATGTTTAGAAAGGTGTGAGCTCTGGCCAAAGGCTTTGCCACATTCTTCACATTTGTAGGGTTTCTCTCCAGTATGAATTCTCTTATGATTAGTAAGATATGAAAACCAGTTAAAAGCTTTGCCGCATTCATCACATTTGTAGGGTTTCTCTCCAGTATGAATTCTCTTATGTTGATTAAGGTAGGAGAACCAGGTAAAAGCTTTGCCACATTCCTCACATATGTAGGGTTTCTGCCCAGTATGAATTCTCTTATGCTGAATAAGGTATGAGAACCAAGTAAAAGCTTTGCCACATTCCTGACATTTGTATGGTTTCTCACCAGTATGAATTCTCCTATGTTCAGTCAGATGTGAGCTCTGGTTAAAGGCTTTTCCACATTCTTCACATTGGAAGGTTTTCTCTCCAGTATGAATTCTTTTATGTTGAGTAAGGTATGACAACAATTTAAAGACTTTGCCACATTCTTCACACTTGTAGGGTTTCTCTCCACTATGAATTCTCTTGTGTTGAGTAAGGTATGGGAACAACTTAAAGGATTTGCCACATTCTTCACATTTGTATGGTTTCTCTCCAGTATGAATTTTCTTATGTTTAGTAAGAATTGAGAACAGGTTAAAAGCTTTGCCACATTCTTCACATTTGTAGGTTTTCTTTTCAGTATGAATTTTCTCAATAATAGCAAGACTTGAGCAAGACTTAAAGACGTTATTACATTCTTCACATCTGCAATGCTGCTCTCCAACACGAATTCTCTTATAGTCAGTAAAGTATGAGCGCTCATTAAAGGCTTTGCTACCTTTTTTACGTTGGTAGGGGTTCTCTCCAATATGGATACTCTGCTGTTGAGTTGTTATTAAAGACATGCAAGAGACATTGCCACATTCTTTGCATTTGAATGGTTTTTCTCCAGTATGGCTTATCTTATGTTTATTTAGATTTGCAAATTTACTAAAACCTTTCACACATTTATTGCATTGAAAGTTTTTGTTATGAGTAGTTGCTGAGCATAAGTCAAGTCCATTATAACTTGCCTTCTGCCCTTTCCACTCACCCACAATTTCCCAGTCATTCCTTAAGCGTAATTTCTCAAGACAACATCTTTCATATCTTCTCAGCATCACTTTTTGGAATGAAATTTGCAGACCCTGCTCTGGCAAAATGTCTTCAGTAAGATAAGAAGACAAAGCTGGAAAAAATAAAAACAACAAATTATTCCACTTACTAGATAACATACTTTACAAATCTAAGGCATAAAATTATACAAGCACATTAGCAAGATAGCATAAGGAAATACTACAGGCCCTTATTCCTTCATAGTCATAATCCTAACAAAAATATACTAAACAAAATGCCATTATGTGAACCCTAAAAGCAGCCGAAGGGGGAAAAAAAAGAAATAACTTACAATGAAGCTCCAATATGCCTCATCGCAGACTTTTCACTGGAAACCTTACAGGCCAAGAGAGAGTGGCATGACATACTTAAAGTGCTGAAAGAAAAAAACCTTTACCCTATGATATTATATCCAGCAAAAATATCCTTCAAACATAAAGAGAAATAAAGATGGCCAAACAAAAGCTGAGGTATTTCATCAATACCAGACCTGTCCTACAAGAAATGCTAAAAGGAGTACTTCAATCAGAAAAGAACATTAATTAATAATAACATCATCTGAAGTTACAAAATTAACTGGTAATAGTAACAACACACAAAAACACAAAATAACACTATAACTCTGGTGTGTAAACTACTTTGGTCCAAAGTGAAAACATTAAACGAAGGCTGGGCACGGCGGCTCATGACCTCACTTGCAGCACCAGACAAACCTACTAGACAGAAAATCAACGAAGAAACATAGCGCTTATCTGCACTATATGCCAAATGGATCTAATAGATAATTACAGAACATTTCACACAACAGCTGCACAATACACATTATTTTCCTCAGCACATGGATCATTCTCAAGGAGAGACCATATGTGAGGTCACAAAACAAGTCGTAAAACATTCCAAAAATGGAAATAATACCAAGCATTTTCTCTGACCACAATGGAATAAAACTAGAATGAAAAGAGGAATTTTGAAAACTATACAAATACACGGAAATTAAACAATATGCTCCTGAATGACCCGTGAGTTAAAAGAAATTCAGAAGGAAATTTAAAATTTCTTGAGACAAATGATAACAGAAACAAAATACACCAAAACCTATGGGATACAGCAAAAGCAGTACAAACAGGGACGTTTATAGCTATAACTGCCTACATGAAGAAAAAGGGAAAACTTCAACTAAACAATCCAACAATGCATCGTACAGAACTAGAAAAGCAAGAGCGAACAAAACCCAAAATTAGTGGAAGAAAAATAATGAAGCTCAGAACAGAAATAAATGAAATTAAAATTTTTTGAAAAATTCAAAAGATCAATGAAACAAAAAATTAGTTTTTTGAAAAGTTAAAATTGAGAAAAACCTCGAAGACATTAGTCTAAGCAAAAATTTATTGAGCAATACCCCACAAACACAGACAACCAAAAAAAAAAAAAATGGACAAATGGGAACATATCAAGTTACAAAGCTTCTGCACAGCAAAGAATACAATCAACAAAGTGAACAGACAACCCAGAGAATGGGAGAAAATACTTGAAAACTACTCATTTGACAAGAGATTAACAACCAGAAGTTATAAGGAGCTCAAACAACTCTACAGGAAAAAAAATCTAATAATCTGAGCCAAAAAATGGTCAGGATATGTGAATAAACATTTCTCAAAACAAGACACAAATAGCAAACAGGCATATGAAAAGGTTCTCAACATCACTGACCATCAGGGAAATGCAAATCAAAACTACAATGAGATATCATCTCACCCCAGATAAAATAACTTATATCCAAAAGCCAGGCAATAACAAACGCTGGTGAGGAACCCTGTACACTGTGGGGATTTAAATTAGTGCTACCACTATGAAGAACAGTTTGGAGGTTTCTCAAAACACTAAAAATAGAGGTACCATATGATCCAGCAATCCCACTGCAGATGTATATGCCAAAGAAAGGAAATCAGTATATCAAAGATAGATGCACTTCTATGTTTGTTCCAGCACTATTCACAATAGCCAAATTTTGGCAGCAACCTAAGTATCCATCAACAGGCAACTGGATAAAGATAATGTACTACTTATAGGCCAGGCGCAGTGGCTCACAACTGTAATCCCAGCACTTTGGGAAGCCGAGGCGGGCGGATCCCGAGGTCAAGAGATTGAGACCATCCTGGCTAACACGGTGAAACCCCGTCTCTACTAAAAATACAAAAACAAAACTAGCCGGGTGTGGTGGCGGCGCCTGTAGTCCCAGCTACTCGGGAGGCTGAGGCAGGAGAATGGTGTCAACCCGGGAGGCAGAGCTTGTAGTGAGCCGAGATCGCGCCACTGCACTCTAGCCTGGGCGACAGAGTAAGACTCTGTCTCAAAAAAAAAAAAAGAAAAAAAGAAAAAAAGAAAGAAAACATACTACTTATAGACAATGGAGTACTATTCATCCTTAAGGATGAGATCCTGTCATTTGCAACAACATAGATGGAACCGAAGGTCACTATGTTAAGTAAAATAAGCCAGGTACAGAAAGACAAACATTGCATGCTTTCACTTATTTGTGGAATCTAAAAGTCAAAACAATTAACTCATGGAGATAGAGAGTAGAAGAATGGTTATCAGAGGCTGGAAAGGGTACTGGGTGAGTGGGTGGGGGAGGTGGGGATGGTTAATGGGTGCAAGAAATTACTTAAAAAGAATGAATAAGACCTACTATTTAATAGCACAACAGGGTGACCATAGTCAAAAATAATTTCAGTTGTACATTTTTAAATAACTTAAATAGTATAATCTGATTGTAATTCAAAAAATAAATGCTTGAGGGAATGGACACCCCATTTTCCCTGATATGCTTATTTCGCGTTGCATGCTTGTATCAAAATATCTTATGTACCTCATAAATACATACAATTAAAAAAAATTTTTTTTTAAAGCCTTTCTGAGAACTCTAAAAATCAACGAAGGGTTTGCAGCACCCCAGGTGAGCACAATGCCATAAGCCCCATAGAAGTGGAAGGAAAGTATGTTCCATTTAACCACCACAGTCATTCCTTTTTCCCAATATGGTATGGTGCCCTTAGGAGTAAACTTCTGACTTCTCCCTCATAAAATAAAGAAAATAGTGGCACATGTGTCCATACTTTTGGGGGCTTGAAAAAAACTGGTTGCTGTCTTCTATGACAGAGTACTGAATAGAATGATGGTATACTTTGACCGACAGGTTGGTTGTTTTGAAACCAGTAATAAATGATTGTTACAGCAGACAAGAAACTGCAGTACCAGAGATGGACAACAGACATAACAAGTAATTACAGCCTCTTAAGAGGAAACATGTGAAAACCTCTGTAATTAAGAAAATAGCCGGGTGCAGTGGCTCACGCCAGTAATCCTAGCCCTGGTCAACACGGTGAAACCCCATCTCTACTAAAAATACAAACATTAGTCAGGCATAGTGGTACGTGCCTATAATCCCAGCTACTTGGGAGGCTGAGGCAGAAGAATTGCTTGAATCCAGGAAGCAGACGGTGCAGTGGGCTAAGATTGCACCATTGAACTCCAGTCTGGGAGACACAGCGAGAGACTCTGTCTCAAACAAAACAAATCAAAACACCATTCCAGAGAAGACATATCCCAAGAACAAGTTTGAGAGGCTCCCATAATCTCTAGCCTGATCAATTGGTGTCAGAATTTCCCAGAACAATGCCACTTTATAAAGATTGAAACAGGTGGCTTTTTGTTAATTTCAAATCTGAACAAAAGATTACAATGTATACAAAATATCAGGATACTTATGGCCCCAGAAAGGAAAAAGAAATATCCAGATAGCAACCCTAAAGAAATGGAGATAAATTATTTTTAAAAACTCAAAATAACCATGTGAATAATATTAATAAGTGAAATAAGAACATAGAAAACTAAATGAAATCAGTTGTCTTGGAAGATCAACCAAAAGATAAAAAGTATAAAAAGAAATAGAAATTATGGAGCTCAAGAATATAAGGTAAGCAAATGCTGAAAAAGTCATCAGTAGATCTACACTCAAGAAACACTAAAGGGGCTGGGTGTGGTGGCTCATGCCTGTAATCCCAGCACTTTGGGAGGCCAAGGTGGGAGGAATGCTTGAGGTCAGAAGTTCGGGACCAGCCTAGCCAACATGGTGAAACCCTATCTCTACTAAAAATACAAAAAAATTAGCTGGGCGTGAGGGAACAAACCTGTAGTCCCAGCTATAGGAAGGCTGAGGCACAAGAATTGCTTGAACCCGGGTGGCAGAGGAACAAAAGCGTAAAAATAATTATAAACATCTGTTCATATAAAAAGATATGATCAATGACATCAGTAACCTAAAGTTCAAGGCAGACGTACTGAGAAAAAAAATTTGTATGTAACTGAAGACATTACCAGTTTAAAATATATTGTTGTGGCTGGACACAGTGGGTCACACCTGTAATCCCAGCACTTTGGGAGGCTGAGGTGGACAGATCACCGAGGTCAGGAGTTGGAGACCAGCCTGGCCAAAATGGCAAAACCCTGTCTCTACTAAAAATATGAAAATTAGGCCGGGCGCGGTGGCTCAAGCCTGTAATCCCAGCACTTTGGGAGGCCAAGACGGGTGGATCACGAGGTCAGGAGATCGAGACCATCCTGGCTAACACGGTGAAACCCCGTCTCTACTAAAAAAATACAAAAAACTAGCCGGGCAAAGTGGTGGGCGCCTATAGTCCCAGCTACTCGGGAGGCTGAGGCAGGAGAATGGCGGGAACCCGGGAGGCGGAGCTTGCAGTGAGCTGAGCTCTGGCCACTGCACTCCAGCCTGGGCGACCAATCGAGACTCCATCTCAAAAAAAAAAAAAAAAAAAAAAATTAGCTGGGCGTGGTGGCACGCGCCTGTAATCCCAGCTACCCAGGAGGCTGAGGCAGCAGAAACGCTTGAGCCTGGGAGGCAGAGGTTGCAGTGAGCTGAGATCATGCCACTCCAATCCAGCCTGGGTGACAGAGCGAGACTCTATCTCAAAGAAACAAAACAAAACAAAAAACAAACAAAAAACCAAAAGTGAACAACTCACAGGAGACAAAAAAGACAATAAATAAAAGGTT